CGGGCAGCCTGCCACGGGCGTCGGCATGGGCATGGGTATGGGCTGCCATCAGCATGGCACTGCCACCCCCACAGCGTGGCCCCACCACCACCCACTGCCCTGCCAGCAACATGGTCCCATCATCACCCATCTTCATCCACAGCCTCACCATCATCCATGGCCCCAACTGGCAACAACCCCAACCTCCATCGACAGGGCCCCTCTGTCACCCCCACCCCCTCCATCACCCTTAGTCTCTCCATCACCCACATTTCCTCCACCACCTCCTGTCCCTCCAACACTCACTGCGTCACCAACACCCCTAGTCCCTTCACCACCATCAGCCCCTTCATCACCCACCACCAGCCCCTCCATCACCCACATCCCCTCCATCATCCTTGGCCTCTCCAGTCCCACCACCACCTCCAGCCCCTCAGAGCCCACACACACATTGCCAGCCCATTCCATCAGCTCCATAGGCTCAGCCTCAGCCCCCTCCCCACTGCTGCCTGCTCACTCACCCACGCTCTCCCTTCCAGATCCTGCAGCTGTGGCAGCTCCCCCATCCCAATCATCCCTGATCTTAGCTTACATACACTCCTGGCATTGATGGAAGCAGTGACTGGGAAACACTGTTGGGTTTAATGGCACCAGTGGGTGCTGGAAAAGAGGGAAGGGGCTGGGCATGGAAGGGGTAAGGACCGTGTGATAAACCCTTCCCTCAACTGAGCCCTCCTGTGCAGCTCTGCGGGAAGGTGCCAGGCATGGAGGGGGATGGCAGCCTGGACCCCCCGACCCACCCTGAGGAGGGAGGCAGCAGCAAGGTGAGGGGCAGCTGTTTAGAGCCCAACTGGGGTGGGCTGAGCCTGGGGGGCACTGAGTGTAACCCATGTTCCCCTCTGTAGGTGGAGGTGGTGTTCTGGCTGCTGTCCATGCTGGCCACACGGGACAAGGAGGACATGTCGCGCACATTGCTGGCCATGTCCAGCTCGCAGGAGAGCTGCCTGGCCATGCGCAAGTCGGGCTGTCTGCCCCTGCTCATCCAGATTCTGCACGACTCGGATGGGGAGCCAGGCCCCCCCGAGAGCCCCACGGGTGCCAAGGACGCGCGCATGCGCGCCAACGCTGCCCTCCACAACATCGTCTTCTCCCAGCCTGACGAGGGCCAGGCCAAGAAGGAGATGAGGGTGCTGCACGTGCTGGAGCAGATCCGCTCCTACTCGGAGACATGCTGGGACTGGCTGCAGATGCAGAGCCGGGACAGGGGACGGGGCCCCGAGGGTGCGGGTATGAGTGACTGGGGGCTGCACGTATGCAGTGGGGTGTTCCAATGCCAGAGGTGGTGGGTAATAGGGGGAGACTGTCAATGCCAGTCCCCAGGACTGACTCCCCTTCTCGCCACAGTGCCAGTGCCCATTGAGCCCCAGATCTGCCAGGCCACCTGTGCCATCATGAAGCTCTCCTTTGATGAGGAGTACCGGCGGGCCATGAACGAGCTGGGTGAGCACAGGGATGGGGCTCATTCCCTTTGCACCACAGCCAGCCCTGCCCACACTCCTCCCCAGTGTCACAGCGCAGGGGAAGGGGTGCTGGGAATCCCAAATGACCCCTGTCCTGTCCCACAGGTGGGCTGCAGGCAGTGGCTGAGCTACTGCAGGTGGACTATGAGATGCACAAGATGACGAACGACCCCCTGAACCTGGCACTGCGGCGCTATGCGGGGATGGCCCTCACCAACCTCACCTTTGGTGATGTGGTGAACAAGGTGAGGGGAGCAGTGGTTTAGGGAAGGGTTATCAGGGTTGAGGGGGTTACAGTGCCACCCTGACCACCCTCATCCTCCCTGCAGGCAACGCTGTGCTCCCGCCGGGGCTGCATGGAGGCCATCGTGGCTCAGCTGGGCTCCGACAGTGAGGAACTGCACCAGGTGGGTGTTGATGGTGTGAGGGGCTCCCTGGAGAAGGGGACAGGCAGGGGCATGACTCCTGTGCCCACTCACCTTTCTCTTCCCTCCCGCCCCCCAGGTGGTCTCCAGCATCCTGAGGAACCTTTCCTGGCGTGCTGACATCAACAGCAAGAAGGTGCTGCGGGAGGTGGGCAGCGTCACTGGGCTGACGCGGTGTGCTCTGCATGCCGGCAAGGTGAGCACTGGGGCAGGTGGGAGTGGGTGTGGGGCAGCTGGACAGGGGCTGACAGGTGTGTGTGTCCTCACCTTGGGACAGGAGTCCACTCTGAAGAGTGTCCTGAGTGCACTGTGGAACCTGTCAGCGCACAGCACGGAGAACAAAGCAGCCATTTGTGGGGTGGAGGGGGCCCTGGGCTTCCTGGTGAGCACCCTCACCTACAAGTGCCAGAGCAACTCCCTGGCCATCATTGAGAGCGGCGGTGGCATCCTCAGGAATGTCTCCAGCCTCATCGCCACACGGGAGGATTACAGGTGAGGGGCATCACAGGGTGGGGATGCTCCATAATGATAATGGGGTGCTGCAAGGACAGCGGTAGGGGGAAGTCATGGCTGGGTGGGATGGAGGCACCATGGACTCCAGGAACAGTAACAAGGTGGGGGTCAAGGACTGTCCTGATGGCCAGGGGTCTCCTCTGTCCCACAGGCAGGTTCTCCGGGACCACAACTGCCTGCAGACGCTGCTGCAACACCTGCGCTCGCACAGCCTCACCATTGTCAGCAATGCCTGCGGCACCCTCTGGAACCTGTCTGCCCGCAGTCCCCGTGACCAGGAGCTGCTGTGGGATCTGGGAGCCGTCAGCATGCTGCGCAACCTCATTCACTCCAAGCACAAGATGATTGCCATGGGCAGCGCAGCTGCACTGCGCAACCTGCTCACCAACCGGCCCCCCAAGTACAAGGACGCAGCCGTGGTCTCGCCGGGCTCCTGCATGCCCTCGCTCTACATGCGCAAGCAGAAGGCACTGGAGGCTGAGCTGGACGCCAAGCACCTGGCTGAGACCTTTGACACCATGGAGAAGCAGAGCCTGAAGAGCCAGAGCGCAAAGAAGCCAATGCGGCACATGGAGAGCCTGGTGAAGGACTATGCCTCTGACTCTGGCTGTTTTGATGATGATGAGGTGCCCAACATCTCCACTGGTGTGGAGACAGCCAGTGCCTCTGTCCTCTCCATGTTCCTCAACTCCTCCTTCCTGCAGGGCCAGGTGCTGCCACGGGCACTGGCACAGAGGCGATGCCCAGAGCCGGAGAAGGACGGCAGCGGGAAGCCAGCCGAACCCAAGAAGCCACCACTGCCAGAGGATGATGTCTCACTGGCCGCTGAGAAGTTGGCCAACAAGATCTCCAGCACAGTGGCCAAGATAGACAAACTGGTGGAGGACATCTCCACCATGCACAATTCCTCAGATGACAGCTTCAGCCTCAGCTCAGAGGACCACTGCCTGGACTGGCAGTATGGCCCCGAGGAGGGCCACGAGGCGCGTGCGCAGTCATGCTCGCCGTGCCGGCTCTCAGACGCTGGCGGCTTTGCCAAGCGGGAGAACCTGAGCCGGGCACACACACTGCTGCGGCTGAAGACAGCCTACACGAGCTTGTCAACCGACAGCCTCAACAGTGGCAGCACCAGTGACGGCTACTGCACCAAGGAGCATATGAAGCCCTGCTCCAGGGCTGCCTTCCTCGACTATCGTGACGAGCTGCAGCACTACCAGAAGCGGCCGAGCCGGCTCGACCTCAAGAGCATCCTGGGCGGCAAGCTGGAGCGGGGTGAGCCCCCGCCCCCTGCGCGGGATCCAGCCGAGCCAGACAAACCAGAGCAGCGAGACCTGCCTGAACGAGCCAAGAAGACAGTCACTTTCCCCTGCCCCCAGGCACCGGAGAAGGAGCCTGAGTGGAATAAGGAGGCAGGCACCAAGCTCCCCCCTGAACCCCACATCCACACCATCAAGCTCTCCCCATCCTACCAGCATGTCCCCATGTTGGAGACCCTGGCTAAGAGTGGCACAGCCAGCAGCCACCAGCCCTCCCTGCTGGGTAGAAGGCAAGCCTGGCTCCCCCCAGAGCTGCTGCAGACAGCTGAGACTCTGAGCAAGATCCCAGAGAAGCTGCCAGCTCACTTGCCGGCTGCAGCAGAGCAGGAGTCAGTGCAGAAGTACTACCCCTATCTCCTTCTCCCGCTGCAGCTCCCTCTCTTCCCTGTCCTCAGCAGACAATGTGCTGGATGGGCAGAGCCACAGTGAGAACGACCTGGACAGTGATTCCTCCCTGGAGATCCTGGAGATGGAGGAAGGGGAGGCAGAAGGTGAGGAGAGAAGGCAGGAGAAGGCAGTGGATCAGGGTCCTACCACAACAGTGGGGATTTCCCAGCCCATCACCATCCCATTCCCGAAGCGTGACAAGGTCTTCCTGCGGGAGACATCACCCTCAAGGCAGGAGGACCTGACGCCCTCAAGCTCCTCAGAGAACTACATTCAGGAGACGCCACTGGTCATGAGCCGCTGCAGCTCTGTCAGCTCCCTGGGCAGCTTTGAGAGCCCTTCCATCGCTAGCTCCATCCAGAGTGACCCATGCAGCGAGATGATCAGTGGCACCATCAGCCCCAGTGAGCTGCCCGACAGTCCTGGGCAGACCATGCCCCCTAGCCGCAGCAAGACACCCCTGTTTGAGCTGGGCTGCCAGCCAGAGAAGGAGACCAGCCAGTTCAACATTCAATGGGAGAATAATGTCAAGAAGTTCATGGAGATCACTGACTTCAAGGAACGCTTCCAGCTGCCCCAAGACCTGGACTCCATGGTCTACTTCACGGTGGAGAAACCCAACGAGAACTTCTCATGTGCCTCCAGTCTGAGCGCCCTGCCTCTCCACGAGCACTACATCCAGAAGGATGTGGAGCTCAAGCTGATTCCCACCTTCCCAGAGAAGAACAGCCTGAATTTTGCAGCTCACGAGAAGCGGGAGGAGCGGCGGGAGGAGCGGTACCTGGAGGGGCGGCGGTGGGCCGAGCGCCCCGAGCCCCCCGATGATGATGACATTGAGATCCTGAAGGAGTGCATCAGCTCTGCAATGCCCTCTCGCTTCCGCAAGGTCAAGACCTCACTGCTGTCCGGCCAGGTGCTGCACCCCCAGACCAAGAAGCCAGTGCATGTCCCTGTCTACATGCTGGTGCCAGCCCATGCACATCCAGGTGTCCCCAAGCACCGGCATGCCACTGCCCGCAACCTCTTCAAGGATGATGACTCCTTCACTGACTCGGCCGATGGGACACCAGTCAACTTCTCCAGTGCCGCCTCGCTGAGTGATGAGACCTTGCAGTACCCAGTGGGTGAGGAGGCTGAGCACCCTCTGCCTGAGGGGTGCCGCGAGGTGGGCACCATCCCAGCCAGGAGAGCTGCCTCTGGCAGCTCAGCGCCCGCCCGACTCAGCTCCACTGGCAAGGGGAAAGCAGGGCCAGTCTGTGGCCAAAGTGGGGAAGGGAAATGGGGCCAGACTCTCCCGAAGAGTGCAGCCAGCCTGGAGCTGGGGGTGGGGAGGGCCAGCAGTGCCCCTGGGAGGAAGGATGCTGCTCAGGAGGATGGAGTGATCTTCCAGTCGCTGTGTCACACTACACCGACGGAGGAGTCTGTCTACTGCTTCTACGATCCGGACTTGGACAAGCTGCCTGAGGTGGGCAGGGAAGGGTCTAGCAGCAGACCCCAGCCTGGCCGGGCACCCCGCAGGGAGCACTGGGGTGGCTCCCTCTCCCACAGGGACCCCGAGCCTGGTCCCCGGGCGGCAAAGGCAAAGCCACAGAACAGCCTCATTGCTGATGAGACACCACCGTGCTACTCCCTCAGCTCCTCCATGAGCTCCCTGAGCGATGCTAACCTCTCTGACAATGAGGAGCAGGGCCAGCCCTGTGGCAAAGCCACCTGGCC